CCCTCACTCCTCACTGACCCTTCTGTCTTTCCCAAACAGCCTCTTGAGAGCTCCCTTCACGTCCTTGTTCCTCAAGGTGTAGATGAGAGGGTTGAGCGTGGGGATTACCACAGTATAGAAAAGAGTCAGGAATTTCCCTCCCTTCTGGGAAAAATGGCTCCGGGGCTGGGCGTAGACCGCGGTGCCACTGCAGTAGAAGAGGAAGACCACGGCCAGGTGGGAAGAGCAGGTGCGGAAGGCCTTGCTCCTCCCCTCCTGGGACTGGATGGTCAGCACTGCCCGGGCGATGTAGCCGTAGGAGATGAGGATGAGCAGGAGCGGCCCCATCAGGAAGACAGTGCCAATCACTGATATCTGGAGCTCGTTGACCCGCGTGTCTCCGCAGGCCAGGCGGATCAACGCAGGGACTTCACAGACAAAGTCATCCACCCGATGGTGATGGCAGAAGGGCAGCTTCATGGTGGTGGGGGAGTGCACCAAGGTGCTCACAATCCCACTGGCCCATACAAGAAGCGCCAGCTTCTGGCACAGGTGTGGGTGCATGATGACCGCATACTGCAGAGGTCGGCATACGGCCACGTAGCGGTCAAAGGCCATGATGAGCAGCAGCACGCACTCAGCAGCTCCCAGTCCCAGGAAGATGTAGAGTTGAGCTGCACATCCCAAGTAGCTGATAGTCTTGTCTGGGCCCCAGAGGTTGACCAGCATCTGGGGAACGCAGCTAGTGGTTAAGCAGAGGTCCAGTAAGGAGAGTTGGGTGAGGAAGAAGTACATGGGGGTATGGAGGTGGGGGTCGATGTGGGACAGGAGGATGATGGTGATGTTGCCCACGAGGGTGACTGTGTAAAAGATAGTCACGGCCACAAAGAGGATCTTTTCCAGCCTGGGGTTATCTGAGAAGCCCAGTAGGATGAAGCCACCAGGGATGGTGTTATTGGCCACGTCCATTCAGCACCCACCTGGAATTGAGAAGAGCAACACGTCAGGTAGAATAGTACCTAGAGCAGGCAGAGAGAGGTGGCTTTTGATTCTAGTAAAATTGCCTATTTTATATTAATATTTTCTGTAGGCTTTTACTGGCCTTTCTTTGCTATTAGTCCCTTCTTGGGCGTTCTCACCTGCTCATTTCTTCAGACTTGGATT